TTCCTCCTCCTCCTCCTCTTCCTCCTCCTCCTCCTCTTCCTCGACTCGACCTAGTGCCGAGAGGGAGGGGTGGTGGGGCGAGACCATTGGTCAGAACAAAAAGAACTGACGGCGGGGGMTCTGAGATGGTGGCTCACTATATATGGCAAGCCAATTTATCATTTAATCAGGCCACTTTTCAAGTCACTTTTCTCATTCATCAGGCTTTCAACTCCAGGTACAAAGCACAATTTGTATGTCCTGAATACACCGTGGGACACCTGAAATACTACGTTGACATTATTATAGGTGGACGTAGAGTGCTCGCCTTTTCTCGCTGTTCAAAATAAAAACCAGTTRCAGGTTTTCTTGGTTGCTGCCATCTTGTCTTTTTAGAGCCAGCAATGTCCTCAGGATGTGAGGCTGTGTCATTAATACAAATATCTCACCCACACCCTCCCAACTCACAGCAATCACAGCATAACGTGACATTTCTCTTAGCGCCAATTAAAGATTAAAAAAATCAGTAAATATATACTAGTGAAAATCCATAAACAGTAAATATGAGCTTATCACGGGTCATGGAACAGGACTTACAATTGTTTGACAGAAAAAAAACTTCTGTTTCCTAAATGTTTAATCCCTTTGTTTGTAATCTTAGATAGATAGATAGATAGATAGATAGATAGATAGATAGATAGATAGATAGATAGATAGATAGATAGATAGATAGATAGATAGATAGATAGATGATAGAGTATTGAGCGCACTGAATTTCAGCACCATGGACAGCTCCGTCTTCTTCCATTCATAGATGTGACGGTAAGAGGTAAATTCAGATATTATATGAAAAAAAACATATGATTCATTACTTTAGCATTTAAAACGTAATAAAAACGTAATTAAGATAATTATTTACTTATTTGCTTGCTTTATTATTTACTAATTTTAACTTGAATTAATTGTGCTCTTTACTGAGATATGTTAGTYTAACTTCAGATTCGCAGTATCATTTTGACAAAAGTACGGCTGTTTCTGATACGTAAAAAAAAGCAGAAAGAGGATTGTGATTCGATTATGTGCTWCAACGCCCTGCCCTAATTAGGCTTCTCTACCCTCACGTCTTCTTCCCGTTGGTCACGCCCCCTGACGTTCACGCGCACTCCCCCTCGCTCTCTCTCACTCTCACGTCACTGAACAGCGTCTGTATTGGAGGACACCTTGACAGCCTCCCACAGCATCATCATCATCATCATCATCATCATCATCATCATGCTCATCATCTTCTCTCCCTCACACAGACACGCGCGCACAACTTTGGCCTGTGCACACGTATACGTTACGCGCGTGCGAGCGCCAATTTCTTCACCCGCAAACTCAGCGGACGGTAGAGAAAATGGATGTGAGGTCGCGTCTCGCCATAAATTACGGAGCCTGCTTGAATTTCAATGAAAAGAGCTGAAAGACGCTTCTTCCACACGCGCGCGTGGGCTCCAGCAGGCGCTGTCATTTGCTGCGGGTGCTGAAGCTCGCGGTGCTGAAAGGACAGCTCCTACACCGTGTGCCCCCACAACCTGCGTTTTTTAAGAGTCGTTAAACAGCAGCGGTGATAGGTCAGAAGAAAACTTCTAGGAGGAAATGAAAAACATGCCCTCCGGCTGTTAGCTTATTTAGTCTCTGGCAGCAAATCGTTCTGTCGCGTTTTGATAACATCCCCACAGAAAGTTAAGATTCCGCCTATCACGGTGTCGGTACCAGAGGGTTATTTATAATTCAAACGCTTTACGCCTGCTTATCCCTTCTAAACAGTGGGGCTTAACTGGGACCATTATGTTCCCGGCTCCGGCCCACACTGCCGCGCTGCTGCGGGGTTGCCTTTGCAAAAAAGCCCCATGTTTTTCCTCAGACCAGCCTCTCAGGCGTTAGAAAGAAAGAAAGAAAGAAAGAAAGAAAGAAAGAAAGAAAGAAAGAAAGAAAGAAAGAAAGAA